AAGAGTGTAGAGAAAGATCCACCATCAGATAGCATGTGTGCACTGGCTTTGTTTATTGTAAACCCACAAGGTGTCACATGCCATTTTGGTTTCATTTTGCCAAGATCTGAAAAGTCAGTTTAACAGAAACAAAAAGAACTTACCCACAAGGGTAAAAGCCCTAGGGCAAGAGATAAACATATGGGATATTTTTAAGGTAGGTCACATTTTTCTCTAAACTCCTAGAATTGATAAAATCTTGCAGCCAGACTTCATTTGATATGAGAAAGCATTTGTGGGAGGGAAGCATCTGTTCATTATCGCTCATGGGCTTAATTGTATGTTTCTTATCACCCAGTGGTGTTTTCATACTTACCACATGCACTACCGTATGTCCAACTTCAAAGAGAGAAAAGAATATTGCAGTCCTGAGTGATTTGTTTCAATAAGGAAGATAGTTTCAAATTACATGTGTTTCTTCTGAGAAAAGAGGCAAAATCTGGGGAGCGGTGTCTCCTAGAGGAGTTAAATTGACACCTTGGAGAATAGCAGGCTGTTTTGAAAGACCATGTGGCTCCAGTGAGTTAGCTATCACTCTGCTTAGTGCTCACAGGAGCCAGTATGATTCATTTTTTCCTGGAGAGGAAGACTTACCCTCTTGCCTCACTTAAAATAAATAAGCAAAACAAAATAATATATTTCTCTTGTAAAAGCATATCAGAGCTCAGAAACAAGCATGAATTAAGGGTGAGAGGAAAAAAGCAGTAGGAATACAGAAAAGAAATAAGAAAGGAGAACAAATTGATATGAGGGGTGATGATACTCAAGAGTGTCCGTTCTTTCTTGCAGTACTGCCCTCCCCTCCCTGCCTGTCACCTCTCACCTCATGCTCTGCTCCCAGACTCAGGGCTGTGGTTTGAGCTCTGGTTTGTACTCAAAACCTTCAACATCAGAAAATGAAAAGAAAGTTCACCAAATTGTTTTCAAATTGCTTTTCCTAATTTTCCATAGGAAAAAAAAAAAAAGGAAAAGAAAAAGAGAAATAATCATTGCACAGCTGAAGTAGTCCTCTCGGTGTGAGTTTAATTAATTGAAGCAAGAGAGTCCCCAGGAACCCTGTCATCTTTCCCATCAAAAACACTGTAGTAAGTAACCCCATAGCTATAGAAGAGGAATTTTTTTCATTACTGTTTCAATCTCAACCCTTCAGAAATCCTTTTTGTATTTCAGCCGTGACTCAGCTGATTTAGGTACTTTAATTCCTCTTTTCTTCCTTCCTGCTTTCCATATTGTTTTGTATTTCCTAACAATACAGACATGAAATTCATGCTGTGAAAGATGAGAAGTAATCTCTGATAACTACTTGAAAGCTCAAGTTAAAAATAATCTTGTGGCACAAAAGACTGCTTTTTCTTGTTCTCTAGATTCATATTCCATACTGGTCACATGCCAAGGAGTTTACTAAGGTGTTTATTTCCCTGCATTTTACTCTCCCAGTGTGCTAGTCTACTGAAGTACACTCAGAATTAGCCATCCACTGCACTTCCAGGACATACTGCATTAAAAACCATAAGCGGACACATGACAGTGGCAGCTGAGGATTTCTTCTCCCTACTGCTTTAAGAAGCTAAAGTTCAAAAACCTGTTTGTTTATCCAAAACCTCATTATCACAGACACTGAGAATTAGGTGGTTCAGTCTCTCTCCTTTTTTCTTTTTATTTTTTTTTAGTTGGAAAGCCCCAGATTAGGTTGGCTGTGTCAAGGCAGTAAGATGAAGAGTTTTGACCATTCATCCACTTTTGGCTTGCCCACGTCCAGCACCTTTCCTGTGCTCACACTCCCATTGCTCTCATCTGCTCCCAGGAGTACTTTGTTTTGCTCTTCTGCAGGAAAGCAGTATCTCTGGCTCCCCTTCTCCCTTTCAGCCCCTGCCACAGGCAGTGAGCTGGGCAGAGTACACACAAGTTGGTCTGGAGATCTTCTTTCTCCTATTTCCTTTCCAGGACTAGTCTACCCCCAAGCTCACCTTGATCAACTTCTAGCTGCCCTGACTGATGTTACTGCAAGTCCATTAGATTTTGAATACAAGGAAGAGAATTTTTAACATCTACTGGCGTATCCACCATACTCAACACCTTCTTGTTGAGATATTACCTTCATTTTCTTCTTTTCTCTGTCCTCTGAGTACAACAGGGAAGTGTCCTGCATATACTAACACTGGTCCAGCATAAAGCCCCATGACCCCCTCATCTCCTGCACCCTACTCCCACCAACCAGCGTTTCCTGCTGCTGGAACTATCACAGTTGAGTATCCTTTAGGGTAGAGCAAACCCTTCATTCACCTTTCAGGCTCCAGTGGTACTTTTAAGCTCACAATTAAGCTAAGATCCACAAACGAGGATTTCATGATCCCTTTCTCCTCCACTTATTCATGTTTCTTCTGTCTGTAAACTAGACCAGCATCACCTTCAGAGCTTCCCTGACACACATTTGATTCTGTGTCATTTCAGATATTTATTAAATCCAAGCAGCTGTAGTAATATTATGGTATGTTCCCACAATACAACTTACAAAATAAAACATATTATGGTATGTTCCCACAATACAACTTACAAAATAAAACAATCAGGAAGTATAAAAATGAAGCTTCCTTAGGAGCTTTTTGTTAGCTGCTATTTAGTTGAAGTATGTTTTACCATAGCTGTTGACCACACAAAACCAATACACCATATCAAGACACTCATTTAACCAGAAAAAGAGACAGAAAAGTTTGTAAATATCCCATGCAGCCAATGAACTGTGTTGGACATTTAATTTTTGTTTCTTTTGAATCTTCAATTTTTTTCCCTATGCAGATTTTGTGGGTGTGGGTTTCATTTCCTGATTCAGGTTCTATTTTCCTTTCTTTTTAATAAATAAATAAATAAATAAATAAATAAATAAATAAATAAATGTGGTGTTATTTGATTTGAGAAAGTTATTGATTCTTTGGACATGAACTCCTAAGTTAAGGGGCATTTTTATGAAGCCCATTTTCCTTACCTCATCTAAACACTGCCCTTAGCTACTATCAGCAAAATAGAAAATATTTTCTTCCAAGCTTTTCATGTGTGGTCTGCCACTTTCTTTCATAACCTTGGAATTTAAACTTAGAAAACACTTCTCAGAGTGCTTTTACTACCTTCTACAATTCCTTGAAGAGTGAGTGTTTATGTGGTTCCCTGCTTACAGTTCTCAGTTTCCAAGAAAAGAGGGCAAAAGTTTTGCTCGGGAAACTTTCCCTCTATTTCCCATCAAAGTGCAAAATCCAATTGTCACCAACTGATCGTAATCCAAATGATGGAACTCGTTTATTTTAGCGACCATCCACTCCATCTGAAAACTTGTCTCCTGGCAGAATAAAGAAGCCTTTCACTCCCCATTGTTCCTGCTTCAACAGGGGATAAATCCCCACATCTACCACACAAATCTCTTTCTTTATGATTTTTTCTAAAATGTAATACAAGTGAGCAGTCCTGATGACAGCTACTTATAAGCACGAACTGGAAACACAGAGAATCAGTTCTCCTACTGACATTTAAAGCCACTTTCAGCATGGGGAAAGCACAGTGGGGAGGGGGTAGCAATTGACACCACTCATAAAGTCAAGGTACCAATGCCCCCACCAAGGGTATTAATAATTGTACTCTTCCGTATTAAAATAACAGTAAAAACTACCAAATCAAACAATTAAGGTAAACACAGAGCTAATCAGGAAGGAGATTTAGGAGTTACAGTATAATTCCCCCAAACCCCCAGCCTAATTAGTGAAGAAGATAAACTGGTTGACAGATTGCACAGCTAGAAAAACATAAAGCAAAGAAGGTTATAGTATTTATTATTACTGTATAAGACAGTGATTAGACCCCCAACCTATGTACAGATCTAATCACCATCCCCTGGAAAGGATAATAGCCAGCCCTGTGAGTCTAGTTTGACAAATTAATCCAAGCCTGATCCAAATAAAGAGATTTGTAGTTTTCAATGAAAACTTGTTGGCTGTGCAGTGGGGACATCACCACATGCACTAATGGCACTGTTACCAAGGAACAGTGTTGCACCATGTCTGTGTTCAAGGATCTCTCAAACAGTGCATGGTTTGGTGTTGCAGCAAGGGCAAAGATTTAAGGTAGCAATTGGTGTATTTGTGGAGCATTAGTCGTAACAGGACATAAAACTTAATCCCAGCTTGTAGGTGGTAGTCTACAAAGCGTGGGTTGATGAATCATCTAATCCCAGCCTTCTTGAAGTATATCCATATATCTCAGAAAGGTTAAGGTGAGGAAATTGCTCCGAGTATCGCACAACTTAGAAAAAAATCACACAAACTGGATTTTAGTACATAGTTGTACTATGGTATGGCATTCTGACAGCAACAGGAGAAAGAAGCAACGTGATTAGTAGGTGGGATGTTATATGGACACCCATGTTTGTCCATAAAAATAAGGAGTGTGTGGAGCTTAGGGAACTTGGGAAGCCTCAGGAAACTCCTGGAGCAAAAAGGAAAATTAAAGCAAAGGATGTACCCAGCAAAACAGTGCGGAAAGGGCAGGCCTGATTTTCTTTTCCATGTAATGAATTAAGTTTGCTGGTTTGTGTTCTACAAGAGTTCTAAGGATTTTAAACCCTTCCATATATTTGAGGAAATGTCATGGCCATTCACTTCAGGGCCATGGTCAGCACCACATTCCCTCACAGAATATTAACAAATGTTGTTTATATTATAATAATATATAAATAAATATATATTATATTTATTCACCTAAACACTACAGAATCTACATATTTATATATCAAGTAAGCCAAATTTCTGCCGCAGTGTTCTTAATGAGGTATAGAGGAAGAGCGAGGCTACAAAGCTCAGGAGTTTGCCAAAGTAGGTTCCTACTTTCTATATGTCTAGACTCCTGAAGTGAAAGCCTTCATGTGGGGTTAGGCAGGTAAGCACTCAGTGCAATCGCAGGGCAGGTCAGGTGTCTCAGAACAGCTTTCACAGCAGTCAGCAACCTAAGAGAGTTTGGGTAGGTACCAGGAGGAAGAACTGAAGTCCTGCCCATTTCCTGCCCTGTGGCATGCGGATCCATGTTGTCAGGAGACCTTCACCAACTACCCTGCGTTTTCTCCAAACCGCTTTCTAAAAGCAGTAGGGAGGGACCAATCCCTTTTCTCAGGTGACAGCAGCAGCAGCAATCTTCTGGCCAGAAAGTGTAAAACCTGTGTTCATTTCCTGCCATTTCCAAAGAGGACACCGACCCATTTTCACACCCCACAGCACAGTGTCCCAACCGCAGAACTAGAAGATTTCCCCCAAGAGAAGTAGTAGAGATGATGCCCCTGAAGAGAAGCTCTAGCTCTGAAGTAGTTTGTGTAAAATGTGCAGGTGTCCTTGCGATTAGACAGCATTGTCACAATATCTGACTACTGTGTTTATCTTGGAAATTATGCTACACTCAGAATCTAATCCAAATTTCTACCTATATCTAATTTTCCCTTCCTAAATTGTACATAATTCAGTGTAATCTTCCTTTTCAATATTCAGTCTGAACACTTTTATCAGTTTTGGCCAAAAAGCAGAACTTTTCAAGTGATCCTTTCCAACATTTCTGACAATAAAACATTTACTAAAGCAATGTGGTATGTACCTGAGTGATTTAGAGAAGACTGTGTTATTGTCCAACTGTGCTTTGAACAGCCAGGCTTCATAATAGTACAGACAAATAGCTGAGGAGAATACAGGCTTTTATAATACTATGAACACAATATTCAGAAAACAGAAATTACAAAAGAATCTTCTTTTATTCCAACAACTTGTGTTTAGCTGAAATTCATATTTGATGGGACTAGATAACTAGCATCAAGTCCTTAATGTAACTGCTCAAAACACTATTATGCTTTTGCTATCCAGAGATTATATGTTGTGATAACCAGATACAGACACTGAGAAAAGAAAATAAATTCTTATAAAACACTTTCTGGAACTAGTAACTAAATCAAAATACAACAGAAGTATAAAGATAAAAGTAAAGGAGATTTAAAGGCAGTTTTTTTCTCAGAAAGGGCCTGTCCACTGAATCTAAATCATCTCCCAAGCTATGGTTAAGGAAAAGTTATTAGGAAAAATGTTGTCAGGGCACTAAGTCTGGTAAGGGCATCTAAGGCCCACTGGTGCATCCGGAGAGCATGCTGATAAATATGAAGTAAGTATTTTGTTGTGTGTGAGGTTGTTCTGCTCTTAGGCTGTCTGAATAAGGCTGCCTCTGGTGCTACTAACTCAATAGACCTTAGCGTGCCATCTACAGTCCTGCTGAAGAGCAATACTAAGTAAAGTCACGCAGTCTTGTTTAACTGGACTCAAAGATTCTGTAAAGAGAAGATACCACTGTGAACACTTAACTTGTTTTCCTGCCTCTATTGTACAAACCTACCCAATTTACACTCTGATGCAGGTGCAGGCACAGTCCTAAGTGCTGAGCCATGAGCAGATGGCATAGGAGAGTACACTCCAGAACTAATTGCTTATCCCAAGCAAATCTAACAGCTCCTGGCTCTGAGAGGCTGTCTGTGTTCAGAAGGTACAAAAATGGTGGCTTTTCATCTCCTGCCAGACAGTGAAATAAATATGCTGGACTGGAAGGAAAAATGTTGTGGGGAGGATTTGACTCAGAGATCAGCATCTAGATATTGCCCTTAAGGACTTCACTGTGTTGGCTCCTGCCTGTAATGAAAAACACTTTAAAGAACATGCGATCTTAACTGAGATATTTCCAGATGACTTCACCACAGATTTCAGTAAGCAATTCAAGTGTTTAACTACTATGGAATGTACGTATCCTCAATGCTGGATGTTTTTACATGTTCACATCCAGACTAAAGAACCCCCTATTCTGGCCAATCTCCCCCCTGCAGTCAGCTGTAGACTGTGAGCAAAAGCATCCTCCTACCTGCTTCTTGTTGAGCTAAACAGGGCCTCTGCATTCTCTCTCTTCCTCTCCAAGGTATGTTTGCTTGTCCTGTTGTATCTGTCATGACTGTTTCCTGAATCCCTTCCAAATTGTAAACATTTTCCTCAGGCTGCAGAGAAAACAGTAACACAGGATTGTGGTAACAGATTCGTGCCAAATGTAGAGGGAGTACAAAATTTCAGTTCTTAAGATCACTCTGTTTACGGTCCAAGGATCACATCAGCACCACAGCCCACTGACACACAATAAGCACTTGTACTTACCTGAGCTATTTCCTCACAACTTGGTGACCCCCTTTGCACGAAGGGGGATAACTTAGAATCACAGAATCATAGAATAGTTAGGGTTGGAAAGGACCTTAAGATCATCTAGGTCCAGCCCCCCCTGCCATAGGCAGACACACCTCACACTAAACCATCTCACCCAAGGCTCTGCCCAACCCAGCCTTGAACACCGCCAGGGATGGAGCATTCACAACCTCCCTGGCCAACCCATTCCAGTGCCTCACCACCCTAACAGTAAAGAGATTCTTCCTTATATCCAATCTAAACTTCCCCTGTTTAAGTTTTAACCCATTACCCCTAGTCCTACCACTACAGTCCCTAATGAAGAGTCCCTCCCCATCATCCCTATAGGCTCCCTTCAGATACTGGAAGGCTGCTATGAGGTCTCCATGCAGCCTTCTCTTCTCCAGGCTGAACAGCCCCAACTTGAATGACATTGTATGTGACTGTCTGAAAAAAATTGCTTACACTGAGCAGCTCACCCATTCCTCTTTATCACTCACCTTTCCCACAGTCTCCATCACCTGAAAACCCAGCTGGCAATGATAGAAGTATGAAGAGACATTCAAGGACAGGCTCGATGTGGTTCTGAGCAACCCGATCTAGTTCAAGATTTCCCTGCTCATTGCAGGGGGGTGGATTAGATGACCTTTGAAGGTCCCTTCCAACCCAGACTATTCTATGATTCTATGAAATGGTTCCAGATCTGCTTCCAGTGGGAAGAAATAACTGCCGAACACATTCTCAATTTTTTGTAAGGACTTCATAGTAAGCTTTCTATCAGTGTTGTGGTTTAAACTCAGTCAGGTAATTCGTTCGCTCACTTCCCCCCCCTTTCTTGCCCTCCCCCTGCTCCCGGAGGGACGGAGAGGAGAATCGAAAAGAATGCAACTCACGGGTTGAGATAAGAACAGTTTAGTAACTAAGGTATAACACAAATCACTACTGCTACCACCAGTGATAATAATGATAAAGGAAATAACAAGGGAAGAGAATACATCATCTCACCACCAGCCGACCGATAACTCGCCCCCCCAGCCCGACCAAGCTCTGACCGATACCTCCTCCAACCCTGCAGACTCCCAGCCCTTCCGGCTAACTCCCAGTCACATCCTGGGCATGACGTGCTGTGGTATGGAATACCTCTTTGGCTAACTTGGGTCAGGTGTCCTGTCTCTGCTTCCTCCTGGCTCCCCCTCCTCCCCGGCAGAGCATGAGGCTCACAAAGTCCTTGGCCAAACCAAAACATCATTGTTATCAGCTCTGTTCCCGAGCTGAAAGTCAAAACACTGCACTGCACCAGCTACCAAGAAGGGGAAAAATGACTGCTACTGCTGAACCCAGGACAATCAGTTATATATGCCACACTTCTTTTTATCATTCTAGCTTTCACCCTGAAGGTTGTGCTGAACCCTGTCAAAAACTTCAAAAAGTCAAGCATCATTATGTTTATCACCCAGCTTCACTAAAAAAAACCCTATCAGGTTGGTCAGACAGGACCCATTTTCCATCTGTGCATTGCCATTAACTAGATTAGTACTATATTACCACTTAAAGGAAGGAACTGTAGCACAGAACTATATTAGTACTTCAGTTTTCTTATTATGTGTCAGCTGTTTATTATTTAAAACAGAAAACCCCTGTTTTAGGTTGATAGGCCTGTAATTGCCTTGACTATTCCTCTTACCTATTATAATACAATGGTAACTTTTTTTAATGTCTAATGGAATTTTTTGGTGCTCTGAGACTGATTAAATTTCAGCATTAATGTTCATTGAGTTCCTTTGCCAGCTCTTTCAAAACTCGTGGGTACAGGATGACCAGATTGCTGATTTGAAAATATCTTCTTCCACAGCTGTTCTCTAACATATTCTTTAGTTACAACTGGAGAGCACATATATGACATTGACATATTCTACCCTATACGCTGTACATACATACAAATAGAAACATTTCCCTTTGCTACACTACCATTGGACAATTTAACACTTTTTTCATTAATAAACTCCAGAAAGAGTTTTATTATTCTTTAATTTGTGTTTGTTTAAAAAATCCACAGTTGTGATTGATATTTATTACCAGCAATTTCTCTTTTCTCCCAATGAACAGAGGGACAATTTTAATCCTCTCTTTAAGCAAGTTTGAATGAGTTAGGCTTTTCTATTTCACTTGGGAAGTGTAGTTTCTGGGCTATTTCACACAATGTTCACAAGCATTTGGGATTAATAATTCACATCAATTATTTGTTACCACTTTTTTCACAAATCTTTGGTGATTACTTAGTTCCTTATTTCTGGCTTCCTCAAGCTTGTACATTTACATAGTTGTGCAATATAACAAAGAGTGTAATATGACAAATTACAGGGATTGGGATCAGTTTATTGACCCTAAAATGACAAGGATTTGGAGGGAGTCATGAAGGCAAATAGAAGTATCTTATGTTCAAAGTAATAAAAAAAAGTGGAGCTAGTGCACCTATGCAAGAGGTGTGTATTTGAAATGCTGTGTCGAGAAAGTAGTTTTATCACTGACTAGGTATTAGTTGATCAGATACACCTACAGCAAAAGAACTGAATGCAGCTGACTGCCTTTTCAGAACTGAAAATGATCTTCAATAAAACTCTACAAAATAACTCCCAACTCAGTACTGAGATTGCCTCTGGGAAGAAGTCATCTAGTCATTATGTGATCCAACTATTAGTGTAGAACGTTTGCTCACTGTAAAGAAGGCATTATGGCTATCTCATCATCTTTTGTCATGATCAACCCATGGGATACACAAATTTTAAAGGGATTGCAGTTTCTTTGTGCTGTAAAACCTGCTGGGCCACTGACACCTGTTCCTAGATGCCATATGTTAGCCAAGAAAAGAAATTTCAGAAATTCTATACTTTTCTGAGTCCTCAAAATGCCAATTTTTATCACTGATTTTGTTCAGATTTACAGTTATACTTTAATTTTCAGTTACATTTTATCATTGTCCCCTGCTTTACTCAATCATCTTCATCAGCAATGATAGTTTCCAAGCTCTATTAGTAAATACATTAGGAAGTGTAGAAGTAGAGGAATGAACAACCAGCAGTTTATATGCAACTGAAGTAGGTCTATTGATTTCAATTAAATGCATACTCTCACTTAGCTGGGGATCTGACCCGTTGCTACAGCAAATGGTAGTACTTATACTACTATAATGATATTGTTCATCAACTATATGTTTTACAGTTCTTCTATAGCAAATCTGCTGACAACACCAAGCTGTGTGGTTGACAGACTGGAGGCAAAGGTTGCCATCCAGAGGGACCTTGAGAGGATTGAAAGGTGGGCCAACATGAACCTCATGAGGTTCAACAAGGCCAAGTGCAAGGTCCTGCACCTGGGTTGGGGCAAACTCAACTATAAAAACAGTCTGGGCAGGGAATGGATTGGGATCAGCCTTGACGAGAAAGACTTGGGGGTGTTGGTTGACAAAAAGCTTAACATGAGTCAGCAATGTGTGCCTGCGGCCCGGAAAGCCAAACTTATACTGGGCTCCATGAAAAGGAGCTACTATGAGGGTGATGAGACAGGTTTCCCAGAGAAAGCTGTGGATGTCCTATCCCTGGAAGTGTTCAAGGCCACTCTGGATGGGGCTTTAAGCAGCCCGGTCTAGCTTGGATTTATATTAATGGATGCTCCCATTAACTTCAGTAGTGCAGGGTTAAATGCCAGTGTGAGACAAGAAAATGAAGAGCACTGGAGTGCCTGTGAAACTTTAAATATATGTTTAGGTCTCTGCCTAACCAGCAAAGTCTTGCAGGGCATGTGAGCATTGCTGACTTCATTTGAAGAGTGGTGGAATAAGAGTACAAACACTCCAAATACACCAAGGATCACATTTTGGCAAAGAGACCTGGTTCACACTGTGAAAGAGCTAAGAATGGAGTATGCCAAAGAATGAGGACACAAGGAGCCTGTTTGCTGAACATACAAATGCTGGAAAGAGGAGGTGACAGCTAAGGTAGTCATTAAGAGTGTAGATCAGGAGCAGCACTCACTGGAAAAAAAAAGTTCACAGGACAGCAAGTAGTACTCCCTGCTCTGCTTGATGCAGGTGTGTTACCTCCTATATGGCTAATTAAATAAAAGAGATCCCATAGAGGGCTTTGCTGTAAGAAAAAGGCAGATTTCTGAAATGAAAAATGTAATGATTTTAATGACCTGTGGGGATGGACTGGAATTAAGTGGTGAGAGCAGCAGTGAGACATGCTGCTGGAGGAAAGGCCGGTGTAAATCCTGCACTCACCAGGATCAGCAGCAGCACCCTGCTACCTACAGTGATGCAAGAGGAGGACTGTCCAGAATTGAGACATTAGAATTAAAGGATGAGTAAAAAAGTACTGATTATCCACCTGTGATTATGAAGCCTTTTAACTGGTCTGGAGTCTTGGAGTCTGTGAGACTTGTCTGACAGGCTATTTCAGGCTATGCAGGACTTCTCTATGGTGCCTTTTGCAGAATGGGATTATCATACAATCCCAGAGTCTAGATTCATCTCTTACATGCTTTGACTTTGGATTCATTGCAGATCTGACATATTTTTTATTAGGACAGCTTGCATGAGGATTTAAGATAGTGTTTGTAATAGTGTTCATAAAACTTGTTATTTTCTATGATTGTTATCAACTTATTCATTAGGTTTTACATTTTTATGTATTCTTTTATGGCTTTATCTTATAAAATGAGCACTGAAATGTAGTGATATTAATATAAACCTATGACAAGCACACAGTTTTTCATTATTCCAAATATAAGAAGAGGTTATATGGTGTAATTAATGGCAGTTAAA